GACCAACAAGTGTACATACACTTTCTGATGGGCCATCTTTCTCACCAGCTGTAGAGGCGAGCACATCTGCAAGTGAGCTTTTCAGTCTGTTCAACATTCTGAAGGCTGCCAGCTGCTTAGCTTGCTTCTTGGTACGAGAAACCGCTATAACAGATTATGCAAATGTCATTCATTTAGAGCCAAGCTTTCCTGTGGACAATCAGATTTTCCTCTTCAAAACAGGATTATATTGGAAAAATGTAATAAGTTACATCAACATAACCAAAGTATATCTTGCACATGGAGTAATGACATTCTTGAGAAGCTAACAGTTGCTCAGCTAGACAAGAAATTCCCTGGCTTTCATAGACCTTGAAGTTCCATAACCATGTTCACAACAGGCTTCCACTGAACCCTATCCTGGGCCAGAAGAATTCAGTCTATATCCTCAGACCCTATTCCTTTAACACCCATTTTAATATCATCCTCCCATTTATGTCTAGGTTCCCACAGTGGTCTGACTAATATTTTGGACACATTTCTAATCTTTCCCATGCTCCACCTATCTTATCTTTCTTGATTTAATCATTATAATGATATCTGGCAAAAAGTATAAATTATATGAAGCCCCTCATTATAATAATTTTTCCATTCTAATGCTTCTAGCTTTGGAATATTATTTTCATGACTATATTCTTAAACATTTCCAGCATATATTCTTCCCTTGGGGTGAGAGATATCAGGTTTTATACCCATACAAAACAATATATAAAATTATGCACCTGTTTACTTTAATCTTTAGGTTCTTTGGCAGATCAGAAGACAAAAGATTCTGAACTGGATGGCAGCAGGTGTTCCTCTAACATTTTCATGGATGAAATTTTGATTTCTTACTATCATTTTCACATACTTCAATTGTACCACATTTTTATAGTAAAACGATAAAACAGTTCTGTCCAGTGTGACTGGTGCAGATTTTTTTCCTTATTTCAATTCTTCATGCCCTTACATGCTTCGGCCCTTAAAGACCATCATCAGAGGGACATGGATATAGTTTGAAAATCACTATTACAATAGGTGTTCTGAGTGCCAATATATATATATACAGAGTGTCCCAGGAGGAATGGACCAAACTTCGGGAGNAGAAGACCACACTTTTCTCGGGCCATTATCTCCGTAACCGTTCAACTTTGGACATAGGTGTTTTGGGTTATATCGGCATACTTTAACATAAGGAACACCCTCCCGAAGTTTGGTCCATTCCTCCTGGGACACCCTGTATATACACGCGTATATACACATACAATGTTGACAAGACACAAACTGATACAAAATCCAAAGTTTTCGCAACTTCAGCAGCTGTCTTTATATATTAAATTTTTTTAATGATCTTTTGTTAGTTAAGTTTTTGGCACCCAGAACACCTATTGTAATAGTGGTTTCCAAACTGTATTGATGTCCCTCTGGTGATGGTCTCTAAGGACCGAAGCATGTAAGGGCATGAAGAACTGGGGGGGGGGGAACTTCACAGGTCACACTGGATGGAACTGTTTTATCTTTTTATGATACTGTTAGTGTGACGGACCAGAATGAAACAAATCAAATATATTTTATAGACTTACAAGTAATAGCTGTCTTTAGCTTTCTCTGTGGCAACTTCTAGACAAATCTCCTTACAAGTATTTAATACACTTTCTGTGTGTCTCTCTCCAAGGTATTAAGTCTTTACCCGGGCCATGCCACAGCTCAAGCAGTTAGTTGCTGGCTTCCCACTGCAGTGGACCGAGTTCGATCCCGGGTCTGGTCAAGTGGGATTTGTGGTGGACAAAGTGGTGCTGGGGCAGGTTTTCTCCGAGTACTTCGGTTCCCCTGCCAATCCTCACTCCACCAATTTCTCCACAATCACCCTCATCTATCATCTGGGGCTGGTACAACAGCCAAAAGTGGCGGCAGTACCAAGTGGACTTAGTCCCACCCCACTAAAGAAAGAAAGAAAAAAAAAGCCTTGCATCAGTATGCAAGGCCTAAATGAGTATTACCAGGTCAATGGATCACAGGAGGAAGTTCAGAATCTTGGTCACCTTTATCTCTGGACCTTATACCCCAAGACTTTTACTTGTGATATAACATAAAAAAAGGCCTACTGTGTGTGTGACAAATGATGACATAGACCAACAGAATTGAAGAATCAGAGACGCTGTTCAACCTATAACTCCACATGCTCTTACTTGAGTCTAGCAAGAAGTGAAACACAAATGGGATGCATGTAGACATAAATGCACCTTATACCGAAATTCACTAATAACTCTCATAGTTTCTCATTCATATGTGTAGCACTAACTGTTAGAAAACCACACCACAACTTTACAGCCATATTTTATATATTGCAGTCTCTCAAAATAAATCCATTACTTTATTAATTTAAATTTTACAGTAATCAGACAAAGATTACTTCCAAGTACCAAACAATATGAGGAGTGTGGACGGCAACATTCTATTCTCTGGCAAATCTGTGTCCTGGAAAAGAAATACAGTGGATCTCTGGAACAGAAGCCATTTTGTGTGTAGTGGAGAAGTGAAATATTCAGAGAGACAGACAAGAAACGGAACTTTGCAAGACTTTTTCTTTTACACAGAATGTGGAAAGCAGAGTACAGCAATAACACAAGTAAAGTTATCTCAGCAGAGAAGCAAATACACTGTGACCCTCAGTTACAGCTTCTTTGGGGAGCAATGGATTTCACCACCAATCTCAGGAAAACCTTGAGTGGAAGACATTTAACATGGACATACTGAATTGGGATGATCACTGACATTTAACACAAAAAGAGGGAAGATATTAAAGGAGCATTAACTGGATGTTCTACTAAACTGCCAGTGTGCAGTTCTAAAATGAGATTTTGTTAATATTACATTTGGGCATCCTGTTGCAGTGATTAAACAATAATATTATTTTTATCAGTCTTATTTCTGCAACTTCCATTGAATGCTCAGATGGCTGTGTGATTTTTTCATATTGTTACATTACATTCACTTCTTGACTATGTTAATACAACATGTTTCTGCCATACACACATCCATCATCAGATATGTCTATATGTGACTGTAAGTTAGTACACTGTATTGTTCTCTTGATGAGTGAAACAAGCAAAAATATAAATTAAAGATTAAAGTTCATATTAAAATCCAAGTTTCTTCACATGCAAGTTGAAAAAATTGGTACTCCTAATCATGCTTAGGTCCTTGATGTAGTTGTGTTGCTGTTTTTTTCTCATGTTTATTGGTGTAATGTTCACAGCTGATTGATAATGACCTAAAATCTTCATTAATAAACCACAAACACTACACATATTAAATATAAAATAAAAACAGCAACATAACTACAAGAAGGATCTGGGCAAAACGAGGTGTACTGATTTCATTACCGGCAAGTGAAAAGCTTGGATTTTCACAATAACAAATATAGGTCATGAGCCTATTTTTTACTAATGTATCCATCAATAATACAACTTTAAAAAGACATTAGGAATATGCTGTCCACTAAAAATGCATTTTAATACTATGACAGTTTTTTAGTGAACAACATATTCCTAAGGTCTTTTTAAAGTTGTATTACTGATGGATACGTTAGTAAAAACTAGGATGATGCCTCAATACAACAGGATGCTGAAATATAATATAAGAGGTCATGAGGACTCTCATTGGTTCTGCCCTTTATCTGATTCCAAGACTGCATTCACACAAGATGTTTATGGTAATACTGCAAGAAAACTGTTCACTTTTCTCATTGATATTTGAACAAACCTGATTCCTCAAGTTTGGACACCTGGCACATGATCGTAAACTGCTTTGCATGAGGTGGGCCTTCATCACCTATCACCTTGTACTCTGGAACCTGAATTTCATGTGTCATGCACAGTTCTTGTAATGCACCTACAGCATTCTCCTGTAGCATGCCTTTGTATGGTGAATCTACACTCAGTGCATGTACTATCTCATCTGGGTCAGGTTCTGGTGTTGATGAAACTCCCAATTCATTGAGCCTTTTGAGGATACATTTGGCTGCATCATGTTTAGCTTCCTTCTTGGAGCGACCACTCCCAACAGCTGACAAGTAAATGTAAAACATTACTTACATTAAACTTCAGTACACTTAAATATGAATATGGGCACTTACTCCCGACTAGACCTCTAACTTAAACATATTCGTCTAATACACGGAATCAGTTATAGAATTTGTATATTTCTCACATTTAAAGTTAAAATACTGAGTTCTTACATATCATGAAATAAGATAGATTTGAAGTTATTTACTCTTCTTAACCCTTAAAGTACAATGGACTACAAAAGGGTTAACTAACACCACTAATACTAAAGCCATTTGTTTTCAATAACTATGGTCCAACATTGTTCAGCAACACAGAGACATATTTTTCAAAATGACAGTGATTTGAAAATAATTAACTCTTTTAATGTTCTCTCCTTACTGTATCAGCAAGGCTTATGGTGCTATCAAGTCTGTGTAACTGCATGTATAAAAAAAAACTATCCCTGTAACAGACCACAGACGCCAAGGGTTGTGAGACATTGAGAGTCCCACAATATCTAGACTATCAGCTCACAAATGACAATAAGTTTCTCAACCTTACACGCTGGCCACCCTTTACTCCCAGGAAGATTCCTGAGTCAACCCCAGGGCCATAGTGCACCTGGAAGGATTAGGTCAATTGAAAAAAAAATCCACCTCATCAGGACTTGAACCCACAACTTTCCAGCTTGTAACACAGTGCCTCAACCATGTTATCGACTATGTGTATATCTCTTGCAATAAACTGGGAGCAACTGACAGATCTTTACAAATTTGTATGAACACAATGCCACTACATGCGTACACTACAACATACCTTACATTTTAACTTCCTGCCATCAATAATGCCAAAATGGTGGTGTGTGAGCTTCTGAGATGGACATGATACTAATACCATTAATGAAGCTCACTAAATTTTGGGCAGTAATAGATTAAAAAAACATGCAAGTTTTTTTAAGTTAAATTTATTGTAAAATGCAAGGCTATAGTATGGTAGCCATATTAAATATATTTGTTAATTTTCTGTTATCCAATTAACCATTTCAACAAAACACAAAATTTTATTTGGAGATAAAGAAGAAACATACATATACACTGTTTGGAACTCTTTCTACATGCTAACAATTATAAAGATGGTAATGAGACACTTTGCAATTGTACCTGACAATAACATAACAGGAATTTTTACTATGGTTTGACTAACCAAGGAATTCTCAGAGACAGGGCATAGAAGAGTTGCTAGGAGGTAAGGGCCTGTTCCCCCACTCTACCATCCTAGTCTGCTTGATGGTTCCCCTCGTCTAATACTGTAGAACAAGTAATCCAGCCATTTATGTGAAAGAGAGTGGGTATGGTAAGGGAAATGCAACATGGGAGGGTAGACAGATTGGGTAACAATCCACGAGAATTCTTTGGTTGGCTCCAATATAAAATGGATGGTGCACATAAATGGATAATTAATTTCTAAAATTTGTGATGATGGTACAGTAACATAAATACTATATTTCTGGGCATTATCCATCATCCTGTTTTTATTTAAAACACAATGTTTCAGACAATGAATTCTGCCTCCATCTCCAGGTAAAACCTACTCAGCTGGACCAAATCGATAAGCTAGTCTCCAAAATGTTCATTGAAATAAAAATACAGCAATGCATAAAGTCCAGAAGCATAATACAGGGTGGGGCGCAGAAACTTCCTTTTTGTGAAGACGCATTATGAAGGGAGGGGAGGTCGCAGAAAAGTGGGGATAGGCTCGGTGAACGCAGCAGTCGCGGAAGTTTCTGTCTAATACCCCTCAGTTGGAAACATGAGGTGAACAAGTGAGCAGCATGTGTTTGCTGTTGAAGCCCATTTTTCGAACAACCATTCCTACATGGCGGTGCAGCATGCGTTCTGTAAACACTTCGGAATTAAGCCCAGAGGTAAGGTTCCCGACTGGAAATCGATTGTTTTGTGGGTAGAGAACTTTACGACAACCGGGAGTGTGGTGAAAAAATCATCAGGACGACAATGAACCGTTACGACGCTAGAAAATGTGGAGGCAGTTCGACAGTCGAATTTGAGATCTCCAAGATGCTCTGCTCGCAAACATGTGGTCTCCCTAGACATATCCAATCATTCAATGTGCCGAATTCTTCACGAACATCTTTGTTTCCATCCCTATAAGATTGTTGCTGTGCAAGAATTGTCACCACATGATTTCCACAACTGAATAACGGCGTGCGAAACGTTATTGGAAACTTTACCCCTGACGCACTTGTTTTCTTTAGTGATGAGGCACATTTTCACCTATCCGGATATGTCAACAAGCAGAATATGCACTATTGGAGTGGTAACAATCCCAGAAAGCTCCATGAGAGGCCACTTCACAGTGATAAGGTGACAGTATGGTGTTTGCTGTCAAGAGTTGGAGTTAGTGGCCCTTATTTTTTTGAAGAAGACAATCATGCAGTTACTGTCAATTCATAGCGGTACGTGGACATGATTAAAAACTTTTTCAAACCAGCTCTTGAAGAAATGCATCTAGGAAATGTCTTTTTCCAACAGGATGGTGCCATGGCCCACACAGCCCGAGCTTCGATGACAATTTTGAGGGCAAAGTTCCTC